TACAGTACACAGCGCTGTACAGTGATTGTTCGCGAGTTTTCAATATGGTACGAAATAGAACATTTCTGTATTTGATTGTGTGCTCATTTGGTCATCGAAATCTATATTTTGTGTCGCGGTGTTCTAGTGAACGACTAGTTGCTAGAAATTTCTTCGAACTATGTGAAGAAGATCCATGCTTCGAGATGATGCAAATCTTTTCGAATCTTCAATATGAGTTTTCTTTCATCTTCAGTAAGTTTTGTAAAACGGTAATTTTGACCATTTGTCTCTTATCTTTTACCCGAAATAATTAAAAGTGGTGAGCTAGTCTCCAATTAGCTGTTATCATTAGGAGAGAAAAGGAAAACCTACGACAGGACAGAGTTAGCTCTAAGTGAAATCATTTATCGTTCTTATGTTAAATGTAATCCTACCGCAGAAAATTGAGATCGATTCACACGGCATTTATACGCTTTTTTGCAAGTTTTTCTCTTCGTTCGTACTTAATAGTTAAACATGTCAACAGTTATCATTTTCTATTGCGATGGTCTCAAGAACGGATAGTCAGAAAATACGCAGTAGATGATCTTGAACTATTTTATTCATGTGTCGCAGAAAATAAAAATCATCTTAACAGCGTGGATTTGTAGTGCATCGTGTTCTGGATATGAGTGTAGTGTTTCGAATAACGATAAAGGAAACCGCTTGTCTAATAAGCAGATTCTTCAGAATGCATATGCTTTCTAGTACTGTTTACTTTAACTGTTCTAAAGTGGATTATCATATGAAGATGGTTGACTATTAGCTGACTGATAGCTGGAGGTATAAATTTCTCAATTTAGATAATGCAAATTCAACTTCTGAGAAGAGAAAAATAAGCATAAAGGTATATCTATAAAAAATTTTCCATACTTTGCTTGAATCGTTTTTATGTATATTCTCATATGGCAGGACAATTTATGAAACTAGTCAAAAATACCTCTATGTTTTCACGAAACAATCTACAATACTTTTCTTTCATCTATAAGCTGTTCAACCAATTTCAGATGATTTGTAGCAAATTTTTCATTTTTCTCTGAATATATTTTTGTCCAAAGAATATTCAGGCGAGTCAAATTTATCGCAACAAAAAGATTTTTTGAGTTCGGTTCGCGTCGGGGAAGATAAAGATAGTTCTTCAAGTATTCTGATATTGTTATCCGAACAAAGATACATGTACTCAGTAGATAAAAAATTCTAACAAGTGTGTTTTTTATTGTAGCCGAAGACTTCTGCTTCATTAAGATGGAATGTAGACGATGTTTCACTTTAGTTATATTATTTTATTTCGAATGATGAAAAAGTAAGTTGTGGAAAGTGCGTAATAAATTTGTTTTATAATCAGGAAATCATCATTCTTTGCCTTTTGATTCATTTACTGTGGATCTTCGATGGTAAAAAGAACTTTGTAGCAAGTACACGTCTACTGAAAGATATGTTTCGAACACTATGTATGGATACTAAAGTGTTCGAAATTATTTTATGATTTTTGAAAAAGATAAAATATATATATATTAGCAATTTTCATCTTATTTTGTTTGAAACAGAACTATTTATAAATATGTCAAATAGAGTTTTTTACACTTCATTTGTTTGACTAATCGGTCGTTCAACAAATTTTCCGATTATATTTAATATATAACATGGTAACATGCAAGTGAACTTTACTTTCGCTTAATATGTAACTTATCAGACAGTTGTGGTACGTTGTATAAAACATTTATTTCATACAGGTTGCATATTCATCGTCATCATAAATGTTTACTGGATCCTCTATTCCCAGAATAAAACAATAATATAATTAAACGTGCTGAAAATTTTTCAATCAACCAGTCTGAGGCATCAGTTACTTATCACATTAAAGTCGCTAATAATAAGCAAGATCTTATAAACAAAGATAATTGTAGTGCAAATCGCCTGAACTAAGATTAATCATTTTTTGAGATGGGTCTGGTTACTGTAAATTTCGAACAATGTTACTTGTCCAATACAATAGTGAGAAACAAGCGACAGGCGTCGCTTAATTTGTTAATAACAGCCTTTAATTGGCCATTTAACCATGCATACAAGTCTTTTTTACCGCTTATTATTCAATTCCAAGTTTCTCAGTGAGGAAGGATTTAATTTTTCGAGAACAGAGGCTTTATATCAAATTTAACTAGTGATATCAGATATACAGGTTTTCAGATCTATTGAGAAAAATAGTTCTATTCGCAATCCAAGTCTTTCTTGAGCAAAAAATTTCAAAACGAGTAGTATCACCCTCTCTGTAACCACGCTATCCCTACATTTTTTTTGAAAGTTTCTAAATAAAGAGAAAGAAATTTAAACATAATGTGTCGGTTCAAGAATGGTGTTAGAGATTATGTTCGTTCTTTTACGTCGTTTTAAAGAATACTTTTTTGTTTTCATGTCATAACGGAATAGAAATTTAAAATATGTCCATCAAGTTTATATAGACAAAACAATACACAGTTCAAGTCGCAGTATTCTAATGGGATTGTTGATAAAGGTTGAAAGTTTTTGTAGTTTACTTTCTTGAGAATAGATGTTGACGAAATGTCATATATAGGCTTGATTGCTAGTTTACTTTGATTGTCTTTTGATTTTTAAGCCTTCATTCATATTTTCACATTACAGACAATACCACGGTTTAAACAGGACACATCAACAATTGCATAACCTCAAATAAGTATTTCATAAGCTGGTGCATGTCGAATTTTTGAAAACATCACAATATTATTTGTTGGAGATCGGTTTTTAAGAACTCTATTTCGTGATATCAAAATATCCTTGTGAAATCATCCCGTCTTCGTGAACAATCAGAGGCTTCATTGCAACGTGGTCATTATCGACCGATTGATCGTAAGTGTTAATGAGCAATTTATATTCTTTAATTTATTCTCAAAAATGCATGCTCTTATATGAAATTCAAATAACGTCAGCGGTTCAAATTGGAATGAAAAGTTACGCAGATATTCAATGTTTTCATTGTCCATTATTATCAACAACCTGTATTTATTTACATTGGGTAACAATTATTGATGGATCTGCTATTAATACTATCCATTATTTAAAATCTATAAAAGAATGTTCATCCATTCATGCGATTCTCTTTACTGCGCAACATATAGACGTAAATGTGTACGTGTTTTCATTGTTTATCATTCGTCTAAAACACTATTGGTTTCGTTTTTTAGTAATAAAATTAAAAATTCTAGAGAACCATTTGAACAATTAATAAGGGTGAACGTAGGTATGTGTGTGTCTTTATGTCTGTATGAGAATCGCTTCTCTTACCTGGTCAATTTTGTCCTTATAAGAATGCGTATTTTTCTAAACTTTTCTTCATATACTATGCCTATTTTTCTACGTTTTATATGTTTAACAAGCGCATATTTTTTTCATATTTTACACAGTATAAAAGTGCCTATTTTTTCATATCTTGCACGTTACAAAAGAGCCTATTTGTTAATATTTTGCACGCTAAAATGGTGCCAGAGTTTTTATGTCTACCTACTTTTTCCATTATATTCACAATACGATTGACTATCGACAAATTAGATTATCAATCATCATAATTGTTGATATAGAATATATACAAGGCGTATACAGGTCTTTCATCCATCTTATACATTCAATTATATAGACACGTTTCTATGTGAAATGTTATTTTCTTTCATTCTTACTTCAACTATACACTACGTAAGTAACTTTTTAAAACTCTTATTTATTTATTTATTTTTTGTATTTATATACTATATGGGACTCATATACAAGTCACTTAATCATCTACATTCAGTTATATAGACCACAAATCCGTGAGTCAGCGAAAAACTGTCTCGTCTCGTCTCGTCTTGACTACGACCCAATACCAATACAGACGTTTTCTTATGCATTTTTTTCAATGTCACCTAAAAATAATTAATTCTTTTATTTCCTAAGATCAAATAAAGTCAGGAATGTAACAATGAACCAAAGATGAAGCAGTGTTAAGAAGTTTCTTAATTATAGAGTGATAAAGAGAGTTATGCTTTCTACTCCTCATTGCTGCATCCTTGAATAAAGTATAGGATGCTTGGAAATTTATTAATCGAAAAGAAAAATTTATATTTTCATGCAGGTTTTATTGTATAAACTGGTTTTTGTAATGATGTTAGAGGACAGTATAAAGTTTTATTCAATAAATACGGATTTCTCAAATACTCTTACAAAGTAACAGTTATGTGTTCAATGCACAACTAAAGTCTATAAGTACCACAGAATACGTTTGAATTCTATTAAAATTCAACAGTTTTTTCAAACTTTTCAGCAGCATGTCCATCATCATCATGCTAACATTAACAATAAAATAAATTTTATTTTATATCATGTGTTTTTTTGGTTATTGTTTTCGATGATGATGGACGTGTTCAACAAAAGCTTGACGAAAAATCTGGAATTTTGATAAAATTTAGGTAAGAAGTTCAATACACATTTCTGCTTTGAGTGGTGATTATCATACGATCTGTATTTAGCTGGAGATGGAGACGATATTTAGAAACCAATCGAAGGCATGCTTCCATATATCACATATTTGTATAACAAGAACTTGAAGTCAATAGGAGTTTCTATCAATGGAAAATAAGTTTGTATATTTACAGCTTTGACTAGTACAAATCTTGCCGGAAAAAATTATCGACTTGTGTAATTAGAACTCAATACATATGAATGATCTAGTCTTTTAAATTATTTCGGTTCGAAAATATCAATTAATTCTGAACTTTGTTTATCCATACCTTTGCAAGAAACTAACAGTTACATGTTATTCGAATTCTTCTCATGATTTCACTGTCGTGTTTATTAATTGATATCGTTTCTCAAATAAATAAGAGAATGCACTCATCGAATGAACTTAACAAAATAATATAGTATAATTTCTTTCTTTATGAAATACACGAAAAAAAAAAACAAAAATTTCAACAAGAAAAAGAATTCTTCTAAACAAGTTTTGATACTTCATTAGCTAAATCAGCTTGAATTTTAGCAACTTTACGTGGTTCAACGGTATTTGTCATTGAACATGTCATTTGACAATCAGATATCGGTACAAGTTTTTCACCTAGAAATAAAATTTTTATTTTTTTGTCTTTCATCATTTTAAATGTTAATTTACCAGCTACTGAACGAGCAGCAATAACTCCAAGATTTTCTTCTGCTGTACTTAATAAATATGCATTAGCATCACCAAGTGCTATTATTCCTAGAATTTTAGATCTTATCTTAAAAAAATATATTAAATATTTCAATAAACTACATACGTGCAAGTACAATATCATCTGGTCGAAATTTTGTACTACATACAACAGAATCTTTATTTATACTTTCAATATTTTCTCGTGTAATACGTCCATGACATGGTGTTTTTAATGGTTGATTATTAATAGCAAAAACAAGACAACGTACAAAACGTGATGTTACATTAGTTATTTTACAATAGGCTAATGAACCAACGGATGGAACAGCTAGAGAACGATCTTGACGTATGACAGATATGGTGGGTTTTTTATCTGAATTATTTGATGATTGATCGACTGTTGTAAGTTGAATAGTACCAGCAATACTTGCATAAATACAATTTTGTTTTTCATATGTTCCAGGACCTGCTATAGCACGATCACATGGACATAAACGATCACCTGGTACACAATAATATTCAGATGATGACATCTGAAAAAAAAGAGATAGAAGTAAATGATTGTATTTAAACAAAAAAAAAACAAAAGTCTTCGAGTGACTATTTTGATATTTAGATTTTATTTAAAATAGAAAATTTTCAATTTGTATCCATATCTATAGTATTTATTATTGTTTTCACACTGTGACGTTGAATCCATAAATCACGTATTTTATTTTTCCATCGTAATCGTTTACTTTCAGGATCTTCAAGTAGTAAAGGTCCAGCTAAAGATGTTGTCGAATATTTTGATGATTGTTTAAAACTATCCCATATTTGATTTTTCTGTTGTTCTACATAAAAAGAAAAGAAAAACAATAATTTCTAATTGATTTAAATAATCTACCTTCAATTGTTTTATCACCAAATATAACAGCATCATGACGTCGATCATTAGCTTCAATAATTTGTGATGGTTTTTCAGAATTAATTGATTCGGATTGACGTTCAACAATTAAATCTCCATCGTCATCATCAACAATTTCATTAATACGTTCTTGTCTATCATATTCATAGAGATGAAAATTAAAATTTTGTTTTGTATCATCAGAATTATTTGATGATTTATTAAATGCTTCACGAATTACCATTTTTGCTTTGGTCTGATGAGAAAAAGGCGAGGGTTTTCCATCACGACGATGTTTATGAGACATTTTTCCGTATCTAAAATAAGATGCTTCTAGTAAAATATGCGCCTATTACAATATAAGATCTATTTGTTTTTAAATGAATTCTCATTTATTTTCTTGTAAACACTTTTTTCATTAATAATCAAATTTTTTGCACGAAAAGATTGTTATTTGTTATTGAAAACTAGAATTTATTACAAAATATTCGATCAGTTTTTAATTCATAAAGCTTTGCTTATGATTTTGATGTTGTTTTTTTTTTCTAGCGCTAATAATATTTAAATACAAATTTGTAATCTTTTATAGTTTGATTAGTAAAGAATAATAACAGGTTTGAATTTTTCTTTACAATCATTTTAATAGATGATAACGATATATATATACGAACTCTTGTCATATAAACTAGCAGAATCACTATTAAAATATCTCTACTGAACTTATTCATTTATATTTAATATTATAAAACTAATCAGAACTATAAGATTGACAACGATAAAAAAATCTTTACGAACAACATTCAATTTTGAATTTTTATATTATTTTTTATTTATAAAATATAAAAGAAATTTACTTTGTAATAACACATTAGCAATTGAATAGAAAACCATCCATTCAAATGATGTCAGCAGTAACTAAATAAAGATGACGCTGACTATGTCGCTCGTATATCTGAATAATCATATTCAACAATGATTGGAATATGATGATTTTGTATAAAATACCGAGTACTCATTATTGTTTTTGTTTTGCTTATTTTCATCTGAAAAACTAAAAAACCGACTATATTAAATTTTTCTAGAGACATTTTTTTCTTACAAAAAAAATGGGTGCAACTGGAACAAAAGAACCACCACGTAATATAACCGTCGACAACCAACTTCTTATGACTGAAGCTGCACTACAACAACTTCAATCATCTGTTGGTAAAAGTGTTCCACAAGCTGTAAATGCTCGTACATCAGATACGGATTTATCAACACCATTAAGATCATCAACGAATAATATACCATTACCAACAATTGATACAACAGCTTCTGTTGAAACATGGCGTGCACTTTCATCATCAGTTAATGATGCTGAATTACAACGTTTAAGACAAGAATATAAACAAAGATTACTTGAACAAGAACAAAATAATCGTGAAAAATTAAATTTAACTAAAGAAAATTTAGCTGCCGAAATTGAAAAAGTTGAAAAAAAATTTTCCAAATATATTTATTCACCAATATGTGAAATAGAACGTTCAGACATTGAACAATGTTATTTAGCTAATCCAAAACAAGTTTTAAAATGTTCATTATTAGCTGAAAAATTTATTAAATGTGTTCAACAACATCGTGAACAATCATTACATATACCTCAAACACAAATGATTTCAACAAATAATACAGAAGTTCCTGAACAACATACATATGTTGATCCACTTTCAGCTAAAACATCACCAACTGCTGATTCGAATTAATCCTCTTAATAAACATTTTTCATAGTTTAGTCATTAGACATATATCCTAAGTTTCTTTTTTTTGTCTGTGTCTATTGAACTAGTAAAATTGATTTATCCCCTATTTCTGCTGAATACTTCATCTCTTTCACATTTGGTTTTTTAGACAATTTTCCCTTTTTTTGGTGAAAGAACAAGAAAGCACTTCGATGTTACCAAATATTTCAATTCATCAATTAAAGAATCAAAATGAAAATGAATGGTTTACATGTGCTGATATTAATAGTAAACAGGAAATTGTCTGTGGAACAGATCAAGGTATTATTTATCAAACACAATTACCATCGAATGGAAATAATTCAACGTATAAACAACTGATAGGTTTGTGATAAATCCATTGAATGAAGATAAAAATTAATTTCGAAACAAGTTATTTAATACCAACGAGCGAAGTCTCCTAATTGACTAATTACTTTTGAGCCGGAACTGTATTTCTCCTATTCTAACATAAAAGCATTGAATTGGCCGGAACATATACAAGCGATACACTTTTATGATAACCGTATTTTATGATAGAAACAATAAAAATCCATGAAACTTGAATAATAAACTATTCTCGTTAAGATCTGACGTTTCAAATCAAAATTAAAAAATCAGTTTTCCTACTATTTCTGACCGAGATTACAGCATTGACTTATGAAAAACAGTTAAAATGCAATATCTGCACAGCAACAAGTTGAGAGCTTGAGCTCTTTTCAGAGTACCCATAGCTCATAGTTTCAACTCAAATACAAATAATCAGTCGGAAAATCTTCTTCGTAAAACTAAATTGATTTGATTTAATAGAAACCATGGCAGAGACTGTGATACATTCCAAAATTAAAATAAATGGATTGTAGATCATTTGATTTGAAAAAAAAACTCTTAATCATATATGGATAAATTGGCTAGTACACCTTATGTTTATGTGAATCTTCAAACAGCAGCTACTAAATGATATATATTATAGTAGTGGGATAATTCTCACTTTTAAATATTAATAGAGAAGTATTTTAAGTTCATTGCTATTAGAATTCCGCATTCAGTTTAATTGAAGATATCTATTGTTTTAAAGAACTGAAATATTTTCAAATTAAATTTTAATTTCGATACTAAAAGAAATTTCACTCGATTTACCTAAAATATGTCATTTTAGGTCATACAAAACTTATTTCGGATATATGTTATTATGATCCTAATGGTTCTTATATTCTTTCATGTTCTGCTGATAAAGATATTCGTTTATGGCGTTCATTCTCTTCAAATTCTATAACAATTTATCGTTCTCATCTTTCACCTGTATGGTGTTTATCTGTACATTACAAATCTGATCGTTTTGCATCCGGTTCAATGGATCAAACTGTTCGTCTTTGGACACCAGATCGATTAAATATTCTTCGAACATTTATCTATCATACAAATGATATAAATACAATAACATTTCATCCAAATGGAAAATATTTAGCATCTGGTTCTAATGATGGTTTAATTATTTTATGGACTATTGAACAAGCTCAACCAGCACGTATTCTTAAATCTTTATCAGATATTGAACAATTAACATTTACATCGGATGGTAATCATCTTATTTCAATAAGTCATAATCATGAACAGAAGTCAGATAGAATTAGTATTTGGGATATACGTTCAGCTAATGAAAAATATCTGATTGACAATATTCCTAGTCATCGTCGTCTACTTAAATCATGTCAAATACAAAATACAAATAAATTTGTGACCGGTTTTAATAAATCATTTTTATTTTTTGATATAAATAATCAAGACGAAAAAAATGATTTTTTTCGTTCAGAATTTTCTAATGAATATATTCAACGTTTAATACATTTTTCATCTCATGAACCAAATAAATTACTAGCGATAGTTGAATAGAATAAAGCACATAAAAAAAGTTATTATTATTATTTTTTTTTTCTAGATGACTACCCTTAGACAACGTCGAAAACCTGTTATACCTGTTGAAATAGTTCGTGATTTAGATGCATTTGTTAAAGTTGAAAATGACTTTAAACAACCAACAACAACTGGAGGAACAAGTAAAAAAAACACAAATATAAATATAATTATTTTATTTTTTATCTATTTGTAAATAATCATCATTATTTAGTTTCAATTATTACTATTATTGTTGTAATTGGCTTAAGTATTATACATATTGCTACATTTCAAAGTAATATACTTAAATATGATTATGATGTTGATTGGGATCATGATAGTAAACTTAAAATTAATGTTGATATGACTGTAGCTATGAGTTGTTCATGTAAGTCTATATTTTATTGACCAATTTAATCAATAATTATATATATTGTTATTTTAAGCGAAAGAAATTTTAAGAGTTCTTTCTTAGTACTTATTCTAATTTTTCGCATAGCATTAACGTTCCTAATATTTTTCCAACGGTCTTTTAAAAAGTAATTTGACCAAATGATCAGTCATTTTTTTAGCTTCTTAAAAGAGTCTGTAGAAATTCGAAAAAATTGTGTTAAAATTAGAATTTTATGTTCGTTCTGATTATGACTTAAGCATTTTTTCTAAGACTTTCGATTTAAGAATTATTACCAAAAGTAATGCACGTCGTTTGTCAACAGCGAGTATTTCACTAAGAAACATAGTGTTAATTTTCTCTATTTCTATAGAAAACAGATTTGCAAAGTGAACTCAGTCATTCCTGAATGAATGTTTTGAAACGCTTGATTCTTATCTCACTTTGTAGAGATCCATCTAGTCCTTAATTCTATTCAAAAAGATTTCAATATTTTTTCGTTCAAACTTAACTTTCGTATCTCTAATAGGACCACTCATAACTCATAAGCTATAAGTCCTAGGAAAATATTGAACATACATTTGAAAGCACTAAATAATT